AATCCCATGAAATAATTGCATTACCTTTGTATTGATTTTGGGCACATCTGATTTTAAATAAAAAAAAGTGATCCCTATAATAAGCATAGTCTAGAAGTTTTTTAAATTCAACCATTTTTTCGAAATTGCAATCGAACTTCGGGAAGTATGGTTAATTTACTACCGCTTTTAGTAGTTTTTATAGTCATGGCGCTAGTGATGTGCGAAAAAAATCGATTTTTCGGACCGATTCGGGGATGCACCGATTCGATTCAATTTGATAAGAATCGGCAATTTTTTTAAAATTTTTTTCCTGGTTTTTCGTTACTAGTGTGGTGACCCACAACAACGACACTTTGTAACCGCTGTATCACCGCCCCCCTCTCCTTTTAAGTTTGTATACTGCGCGTACCACTGCCTCCATGACGCGACCGCTGCCGACCAACGCTTAGTGATGGGCGATTCAGGGGGCGCCCGTAATGTTCCAGAAAATAAACGACACAAACGTTAGAAATCCATAAAGTAAATTTAACAGAAAAATAAAGGAACAGAAAATAAAATTACAGAAAGTAAAATTACAGAAAATAAAATAACTGGAAATTAACGTTCCAGAATTGTTTTCATACTGAAAATAAAATTAAAATAAAATATGTATGACAGAATTTTAATCCCAGAAAGTTAAAAACCTTAAATTATAATCACAGAACGTAGTTTTACAGAAAGTAATACTGTAGACCATAATTTCCCAGAAAATTAAATTCCATAAAGTTAAAAGCCTGAAATTATAATCACAGAACGTATAGTTTTATAGAAAGACGTGATACCGTAGACATTAGAGCTTAGAATTAGATCATATACCATATGGTATATGATCTAAGCATTAGAGATTAGACATTTAGACGGGAACGTATCATTTTCCCGAAAATAAATGAACCGAACGTTAGTAATCCATAAATTAAATTTAACAGAAAAATATAATGATAAAAAATAAAATGACAGAAAGAAAAGTTACAGAAAACAAAACACTGGAAATTAATGTTCCAGAATTGTTTTCATATTGAAAATAAGATGAACATAAAATATGTATACAGCATTTTTATCCCAGAAAGTTAAAAACCTGAAATTATGATCACAGAACGTAGTTATACAGAAAGTGATAACGTCGACCATAATTTTCCAGAAAATTAAATTCCATAAAGTTTAAAGTCTGAAATTATAATCACAGAACGTTGTATTACAGAAAGTGATATTGTAGACCATAATTTCCCAGAAAATTAAATCTCAGAATTTAGAAAGTTAAAATTTTGAAATTTCGTATATGTACGAGGTACCTATATATTATTTACGTATATTTACGCATAGGCTATATTTTGTGGATATACATAGGTGCAACTATGAGGAGGGGTTTTAAAACATTTCAATAGCCCCCCCCCCCAATATTACCTAACCGTTTTTTAAACTTCTTCAATATTATTATAGTAGGGTTTCATCTGCCCTCAAATTTCAAACGTTATTTGTGTCTATGCCTTTATAGCTATATCAAACCCTTTAATAATGCTTGTTGTCATCAATCATCATTTTGGAAACTACATTTTGTTCCACATTTTTTTTTCCAAGTCAACTTTCAACTTATTCCATTGATATTAATTTCCAAGTTTTACCTTTGTTCCTATTTACATTCGTCGAAAGATATTTGTTTCAATTGACATCCATTCAATTATATATCTTCTTACATATATCTTTGTTCCGATGAACGTTTGTTGTTCCATAATTTATTTGTTCCACAGGATTTATTAATTTATTATACAAAACATTTGTAACAAATGTTCATTCGCATATTATAATGGTCTTGGAGTAAAGATTAATCAGAAAATAAATGCCCGGAAAAACATTTGAACTGCATTTTTTATTTATTCATAAACCCCACACTTTAAGCTTGTACATTATAAGGTATTAAGATTTAAAGGTATTAATATGGTATATTGGTATATTATGCTTATAGCAACTAGCAAGGTAATCTCAAGGGGAGCTTGTTCATATTCATATAATGCTAGGTATTCAGTAGGTACTCTACCTAGTAAGTAGCCCCTCACTCCACAAAAAAAAAACAAATAACAAAACATTATTTATGTACTAATATATACTACACAATATTTAACTATGTTTCTTATTCTTTTTTTTTGTAATTCTAATTATATACTGACATTATACATTTTTTATTGCCTTATTATTGTTATTCATTGGACTATTTTACACACATTTTTAACGAAAGTAAATATCTTGGCAACTCTTGTAAATTCAAATACTCAAAGACGAAAAAAATAAGAAGAATACCTATTTTAAACAGGCGTTTCTCAATAACGTCATCATAGGTGGTACGCGGAAAAAATATCGCATTATAAAAAAAAAATTGAATTGATCATTATTCACATTAGATATAACCTATTATTATTTACCATTTGATTTATTTGAGATTAGCAGGTTTTCTTAAATGAATGGCGGACAATTTCCCCCCGACTGTTTTTGGCGTAGTAGGACATTTTCCCCCCAATTATATTCGATACCCTTTTGGGTGTAACTTGCTGCGGTAAGTGCAACTCAGCCACCCTGGTAGGCAATGTTCAATAATTCGATTTGATGCAAGCTTGTACCTGATCTGCCCGAATAACCAATGGCAACCAATAAATAAATGCTAATTTCTACTGTAGACTGTAACCAATGGCAACTATTAATAAATAAAAATAAAATTTCCAATTTCCATCGTGAATCTAAATGTCCCTGTTTGAGCACCTATTTAAAATGCGAATTTTGTCAAATCCTTTCTTATTGCACGGTGAAAATATGAGAAGAACCTCTATTCCAAATTTCAAGTCCGTACGTTGAGTAGTTTTTGAGATACAGCGATCAGTGAGTCAGTGGTATTTGGATTTTATAATATGTATAGATAACTAATTATTGACTAACATTATCGGACTTTATTTATGCCTAAAACCTGCTCCGTGATATCCGCTTTCATTAAAAAAAACTACATGACAATTGGATAAGAAGTTTCGAAGCCAAACCGTAACAAAGATTTCCTCTTTTGCTTGATTTCAGTTTTATATATATCTATATATATAAAGGAAAGTGTACTTTACCAAGAATCAACTCCCAGACCAAACCGCTGGGTCTAGAGACTTGAAATTTTATATAGAGGTTCCTTAAGCAATGTAGCAATAGCAATATTGTATATTTAAATTAAATATCGCTTGATAGATTGCGCCACTGTCGTATTATTTCAACCCCAATTTTACCCCTTTGTAGGTTATATATTTATAAAAATCTAATCTCTGGCATGGACATTGGACAGCTAGTATTATATAATTTTCAAAATATAGTTAATAAACACAACAAAATAATTAATAGTACTATAATATTGTACTATTGTAAAGCGCAGATGAACTATGAAGTACGTCAAATATGGAATACCATTTTGCCTTTGCTTCCTTATGGTTATAATAATAATGTAAATCAAATACGACCAACGAGGCCTGAGTTCTAATGGAAGTATATGATAGCATGTTTTTACTGTCAAATTTTTACTACTGTGACGGCCTCTCAATAAATTGATTTCAAATGCAATTTAAGAGTTAATTTTTCATTATTATTGGTCTGAAACCGAATATTAAAAATTACATTTCTTAATTTCTTAACTAAAATACGAAAAGTTAATTTTTACTTTTTATAAAATGTGTTTTGTGTTATCCAGGTAAAAGTAAAATAAGTCATGTATTGTGGAATAGCCTAATAGGTGGGCTGGTGGGCATTCCATAGAGTATTCTATATGTAACCAACATAATTTATATTAACTAATAATTATAAAACAGTTTCAACTTTCAGTTTTGATACTTTTACAATACAAAAAAAAACTTTTGGACTTATTTAACTTAAGGAGTTAAGACAATAATACCCATTTTAAATAAAACTTAAAAGTATTACATTAATACAACGATTCCAAAAAAATTTTAAAGTTAATAATTAATACTTTGAATGGTAATAAATCATTAGTGAGTAAATTAAAATTATGAATATTTTGACAGCTTTTGACTTTAAAAAAAAAATATAGATACTATAATATAATTATAATATAACTATAGTTATATAGTTAAAAAAAAAATGGTAATCATTACCAAAATATGATTGCTATTACCAGAATTTTCGGTTGCACCCATGACAACAATGTGTTTGGTTAAAATTACAAGTTCCATTGGGTAAACTGAGTTTTGTAGCAGTTACAGTATATTTAAGTTATAGATAGATAATAAAAATGTACTGATTACCAAACTGATTTTTACCACAACTATTTGTTTTTGTAGATACATTAATATGCTTTGTTGCAGATCCCTAATAGTTTGATCGCTACACACATTAAATTGTAAATTCAACCAAATGTAGTTAGGTGTTTATTACAATTCGGTCTTTAATCATTACAATGATACTAGGTAAGTGTAACTGCATAATTTAGTACAACCTACCAGTGTAGCTTTTTATTGTTACAAAACATTGTGTCAACCCTACAGTTGAGTTTTGTAGAACTAAGTACCAAAATTTCTATTAAATTTCTGGCTACTGAAAATATAATATTACATAAAAACATTACATTTTAAATAAACAAACAAAACTTAACATTGTATGGCATAAATAATATATTTATTATTAAGTAAATTACATTTTTTTTTTATAAATTTCCAGTCACAATTTTTCTTATTATACATTTTAAGCATATAAATAATTTAGGAATTAACTAAACAATAGATTTATACATATTTTATTGATAACTTTAGATGACTATATTTTGACTTATACTACATTTACCAAAATATCTTAAAATATATAAATATATACATTTGTACTAATATACAGATAAAAATATTAACATAAACAACAATAACCAAATTTATATTTATATTACATTTTAATATTTAAAAAAAATATATATATCCTAAGTTACATACAATATTATACAGTGTAACAAAATATATCTAAATGCTGCTTCTCAATGTTACATATTTATATCCATTGGGTAATATATTAATATTATTTGGAATGAAGGAAGGCAACATATGGTGATACACAAATTGATAACTATTCTCTACTTTTACCTCATAAGAGAATATATGTTCATCAAACATAATTGTTTCAAGTTCTGAACACTTAAAAATGACATACTTATTATTATATAGAAAAATTTGCTCTATTATACAAAATTTGGGAAGTTCATTTTCTTGTATATTAAGAGCAAGTACCATTTTAGGTTTGTATTTAGTGCCTTTTACCATAATCCACGGTGACTTAATTAGCATGTCTATTGAGTCAATTTGCATATTATGGCTCTTTATTTCTTCCACTTCTATATCAGTGATAAATTTAGATGGACCTATTTCAATTTCATTATTTAAAGTGCCTTTAAGAAACATATCATTTAACTGCAACTGATGTTTAATCGCAAGTGTTTTACAAATGTTTCACCTGTTGCTAGAAGTGTTAGCAGATATTTTTGATATTCGGTGTTTTGCTTCAAATCGCATTGACCACAAAGAAACAAGGGGCCCAAATTTTTTCAATAATGTATGATAATGCAACATAAAATGGTATTTTGGTTTAAGATATAGATTACTGTATTTTAAATATAGATCATGGTGTTCGGCTATAAGAGTTTGTAGAAATTCACAACACCCTTTTTGAAGTGACAAGGAAGTTATCAAGTCAAGAATTTGCCTCAAAAGAATATAAAGGTACCATACCGGATCATTTCTTGGAATAAAATCTCCGATAAGTAAACCAAAATAACGAACTAGAGTCATCATTTCAGAAGCAGAAAGACGAATATTATGCTTGCGAATATTTTCTACATTTAATACAGTAGGTTTGCTGCCTTTATCAGGCCCATAATCAAAACTAACTATTCTATCATTGAGTACTTCCAAGGAGAACAATTTTAAATCGTAAACAATAAACATAATAGAATACTAGAAAAGCCATATCATATTTACAAACCCCTTCCAATAAATCGTGCATTATATCTACTCCTACTTGATCTAATACTCGAAAATTTTTTACATCATGCCAAATACAAGCCTCTTTTATTCCACTTCTAGTAACATCACCATCAATTATATTTTCAATTATATAAGTTATATTGCTCCCAACTTCTATGCAAGTTTATATCAACGTAGCATTGCTTTCTCATATCTTCTTTTTTAATTTTACACATTCTACAAGGGTAATTTGATGAAAAACTTTCCACAAAACCAGTTATGCTGTGAACTACTATTGTACTGTCCCCAACTATTATAACCAATGGCTGTAATGTTAATCCAAGTTGAAAAAACTTATCTTTTCTACGAGTTATAGTTTCTTGAAGTTCGGAATGAGATTTGATATGAGTGATGAACCCATCCTTCATTTCAGTTTTAGATGGTTTCCATGTGGTTTTCCCTCTCTTTCTTTTTGTTGGAACTTGGAACTGCACTGAATAGGAATGGTAAGACTAAAAATGCAGCAACAGAAGAAGCTTCTTCACTTTCTGAAAAATTTAAATAACCATTATAAATACAGAAAATAGTAACTATGAAAAATATGAAATTCAATTATGTTAATATACCTGGTGCTAGGTCTAAATATTCTTTCAAAATACATTTGAGTGAATTATCTCTTAACTTATTTGATACACTTTTTGCGAGCTCTAAAATTTTTTGTTTGTACAGTGGAAATGTTTCCAAAAGACTTTTTTTTTTATCAGAGTACAAAAAGTTGAAATCTTCAATCAACTAAAATAAATTCAATGAATTATTATTTGTAAGTGAGGTTTTTAATTTAAAGTTTTATTTTAAACTTACAAGTCTATAACCGCGTGGTTTTTTGAGTGCAGGAAAGTCATCCATATACTTAGAAACTGATATATCTTGAGAGTTTGTATCCAATATTTTTTCTAAACGTTTTGATGATGTTATGGACCAATACCGTTCGACGATGTCCCATGGATCACAGGAATTGTGAAGCCATGTCATGGATTCTTCAACACTATCATTATCTAAGATAATTTTATAAAAATAATATCAGTTATATCAATCCATACATGTAAAATTATGTAAAATGTAAGCTTACCAATATTAGAACGATTAGAAGATAAAAGTAACACAGATTTTGATTTAATATTTAATTTTTGTCTTGGAGTAGCAACAATTAGACCAGCTTTCTTATACTCTCTTTTGCGGTTGTTGAAACAATCAAGTAATTTTCCTTTAGCTGCTTTCTTTAGATATGGACCTTAAGTGATAAAAACATGAACATGCTGGTAAAAAGTACAAATAATAATTACATTCATTAAATACATTTACTATTTTACCATAGTTTATGTAGGGTATAAAATATGTACTGATGTGTTCCTTGGTAAACACTTCTGTTATTTCTTGTGCGAGAAAGAGCAGTCTTTGGGTCTTAACTGGGGTTTCTGGATTGTCTTGTAGTTCCCTCCTAACAATTAAATTGCATAACTTTCTTCTTCCGGCGTTATCTAACAAATCTTTGTACGCAGACAAAATTGAACTACCTTCTGTTGTACTTTTCAAAAAATCTAGAAGTTTAGGGACCTGGAAAAATTATATTTATTACTAATAAAACTAAAAAGTAATAGAATTAATATCACTATTACCTTTTCAGCAGTATTATCCGAAGACGTAGTTGCTATACTTTGAATACTACCTTGTGATGATGTGGATGCCCCACTATTTAAAATACTTGTTTCAGATTCTGGTGATGTTAAACATGAAACATCAACGTTCAGTGCAGATAAAACCTCATTGGACGATTGAGATAAATCCTCATTGGGTAATTGAGACAAAACATTAATGTCTATTGGAGTTATTTGAGAGTTATTCAAGTCCTAAAAAATGATTTTATAATATAATTTTGCCAAGTGATTATAGATTAATTAACAATGTAAATTCATCCAAGCATTATTGTAAAATATAACCTACTTCCTAATAACTAATAGGCAAGTAATTAAGTATTAAGATTTAAATGGCGAAACTTATGTAACATTGATCAAAAACACAACAATATTAGGAAACCAAATATTGGAAAAACAGGTACAGGTGTACCTACAGGTCTAAGTTAGCTTTAATTATCAAAGCATTGAGTCAATTAGTATTATATTTTAAATCTTACAGAGCTTAAAAAGTCCTACTAAAAATACGGGACTCAATTCATTCTAACAGGTTTTATTTGGACTTGTGTGTTCGCGACTCATATATCTGGCCGTCTTCGTGAGAACACTAATGATGTACCCAATCCGCGGTTGACAGATAGGTACGCATTATGTCACCTGCGGTGCGAACCGACGGACGCCGATGGCGTCCGTATTGCGTCCAAAGTCCGCCCGAGCCGCCCGCCGTGTGTCCGGCGCCGGCGCCTGTTCGTTGTTGTCTCTCTTGCCGTACGTCTGGCATGTTCGTAGCCGCACTGCCGCGTAACTAATTGTTGAACTTCGCGTGCGTTCTGGCGTTACCGCGGCGTCTCGAGTTTGTGCTTCGTGTTGCAATCGTAATACCTACTGTGTGCGAGTTATTCGGTGGATACGTGGATCCAATTCCGCAGTCGTTTGGACTGAGGTTGGCACGGTGCACTGTGCAATATAGTGCGTCGGGCGTCCGTTACTTGGATTTACACGTGGTTGCACGTGTTCGAAACCGATTGGTACAACATTGTCGTCATCGAACAAGTGTCGTTGGACTTATCAACCTCCAAAATCGCGGTACTACTGGTCGACCGGACGGTGAAATCACTATCAATATTGCTCATTATCTTCACACATATCACGGTCGTATCGTTATTATTTGTATTTATTATTGTAGGATATACGTGTCCCCGTGACCTACTTACGGCCTTATTTAATTTATTGTAATTTAAATTTATTATTTGTATACGTACGCAAAACCTGTGTTTGACGGCGTTTATAATTGTTATTTATACTGTGGAGACGTCCACCCCAACAATTTTCGTGAATAATTCAATACACATTATTATACCATCAAATTTTGAGTTCCTTTTATTTATAGTATTATAATTCTAGTATCCTACTTGTAAGTACGAGTCTTTGGGGCTAACTGTCCATTAAGAGCTCCATCGGCGTACATTTTGGTAGCAGAGCGTGGTTACTAGGTCTTTTGGCAAAGTAGCCGTTAAACAGTACTTAGGTTGTGGGTATCATTGTAGTACAATTAGTGGGTAACGGGAACTCCTTTTCATCCGATATTCAATTGTGTAGGTACTATTCCTATTACAGTTCCTATAATCCTATCGGTGTTTTACAGTTAGGTAATCAATATAAGTCGCATTACCGCACTTGATTATTACAAACTGTTGTTCATTATTATTTATGTGTTTTATTATTTTGTGCCACCGTGTTGGCCATAATTGCATATTGAATTATTTTTGCTTAATATTAATTTATTTAATTATTTAATTTAATTTATATAGTTCAAGCTTTTATTTGTCCTCGTAGATTGTTCGTTATTATAAGTTATTACAGGACCGTATAGTTGTTAGTAACTGTACAAATTATTTTCGGTAGCGCTTTTTACATTTTCTAATATCTTGATAAGCATTGGCTTCAATTAATTGTTACTATTTTACTTGTATTATTGTCGTCCATCCGTTATTATCCGCACATTGCTGTAACTTGACTATTGTTCACGATGAATGACACCGAGATTAACCGCATACAACGCTTGATGGAGCGAGATGTTATGAAACGTAATGTGACTATGAACCGTTTGCGCTCAATCATGACTCTTGCAGAGCGGAGTATGAAGGATCCTGAAGTGTCACCGCATTTATTAGAGGCAGTTGAGGACTTGGACAGCCTGTGGTCAAAGTTTGAAGTGGAGGATGAGGCAGTCCTTGAACACTTATTCGCTCTCGATCGCTCATCTGAGTACAAGGTAGATTTAGGTACCGAGATGCGTGAGATAGTCACGTATTGCCGATCTGTTGCGAAGCGATATCGTGAGTCTGAGCAATGTTCTAGTAACACATCTGTGCGCAGTGGGTCCCATGCGTCATTAGACCCAGTTGGTACAAGCTCAGAAAAACATCAGGCCAGTGTTTTGGACGTTCCGCCAATTGAAAACAAGTCAGGTCCGGTAGCGCGTACACGCTTGCCTGAAATTCCACTACCGAGTTTTGACGGTGACATTTTTCAGTGGCCTTCTTTTCGTGACACGTTCTTGGATATGGTCGATAGTACGACACTCCCCAACATCGACAAGTTGCATCATCTGTTAAGTTGCTTGAAAGGAGTTGCAGCAGACGCAATTCGGAGTATACCGCCGTCAGGCCATACTTATAAATTAATTTGGTCTAGTCTGGAATCTCGTTTCGATAAACCCCGTTTGCTTGCTGGATCAGTGGTTGAATTGTTGTTGACCACACCACCATCTACTTCCGAATCCCTGTCAGAACTTAACCGTTTTATGCTCGCCTTTTGTGAGAGCGTATCCGTGCTTGAATCATTGGCCATACCAAACCTTGGTGACTTCATATTGTTTTCGTTAGCTTCGCGCTGCCTACCAACTTCATGCAGGACGTTGTTCGAAGCTCAGGTGACGTCTGATTTCCCTACTGTTCATGAACTTTTCGCATTCGTCAAGTCGCGTGTGTCTATCCTTGAACGAGTCCAGGACCTTCAAGTTCCAAAACCGGTCCAATCGTCATCGCGTTCTTCGGGCCATCCGCGCCAAGAAAAGGGGACTCTCCGAAAATCGGAAAAAACTCCGCAGTCATCTTTTGTCAATGCAGCACCACCGCCGTCATCAAAGCCCCAATGCACGTGTTGCGGTAAGGGCCAACATGCGTTACCGTTGTGTAACAAATTTAAAAGGTTTTCCAAGGATGCCCGGTCGAAATGGGCCCGAGAGCACAAGTTATGCTTTCGATGCTTGGCGGAGGGTCATTGGACTCCTAAGTGCAAATCATCAATAGTATGTTCTCAGTGCTCACGCAAACACCACACATTGATCCATACAGAGGAAGTCGCCGCAACCACCAGGAAGGAAGACACCGTTCCTGTTGCTGATCAGATAGCGTCCGCGCCGACTTCTTGTGTTGGACAGCTCGATTCTCATTCTGTATTGCTGGGTACAGCACTCGTTCAGGTTCGTGACCATGGAGGTACCCTACATACTGTTCGTGCTTTAATTGACTCTGCGTCTCAAATGAGTGCTATTACGTCATCATGCACGACTCGTCTTGGGTTGCGTGTATCACGTTGGACGGCGCCGGTAACAGGGTTGTCCGGTGCGTCAGTTCCTAATACTCTTGGTATTGTGGAATGTAATGTACAGCCTCGGTATTCTGAGGAACCGGTGTTCCCTGTAAAAGCGTGGGTGTTCTCGACGATCACAGCAAATATGCCACGACAACCGTTGTCTCGCGCTGTGTCTGAAAAGTACCGACATTTAGCGTTAGCTGACCCTTCATTTACAATTCCTGGTGACATTGACCTGTTGTTAGGTGCAGACATATTTGCCCAGGTCTTGGATGGCAAACGTGTATCCGTCGGGGAGGCTTGGCCAGTCGCGTTTGGTTCCGTCTTCGGGTGGATCATTATTGGACCCGTCCCTTATAATACTTCGAAATCACCACACTCATGCCCCACATCGATGTTGAACTGCATCTCTGTGGAATCGTTACTTGACAAATTTTGGAGGGTTGAAGAGCCTGAGGTAGCACCCGAAGGATTCACCGAGGAAGGTCAATGTGAATCAATGTTTCGTGCGGGGTGCATTCATTCCAGTTCCGGCCGTTTTACAGTTCCTCTCCCCTTTCGTCAACCCGTGGATGACGAGGTTTTCCGCGGTTCCCGTACGGTTGCGCTCAAGCGGTTTGAGTATTTAGAGAGAAAGCTGTCTGCTGACCAAAGACTTCGTGAACTATACACTCAATTCATGTTAGAGTACAGCTCATTAGGGCACATGTCGCCCGCTTCTAGTCCCGGAGCATACTTTATACCACATCATGCTGTGTACCGACCGTCAGAAACGAATCCGAAAATTCGTGTAGTGTTTGATGCGTCCGCCCGATCTTTTAGTGGTACCTCATTAAACACCTGTCTATTACAAGGTCCAAAGTTGCAACGTGACGTCGTGGACGTGTTGCTTCTGTTCCGTTTGTTGAGGTATGTTTTCACAACAGACATTTGCAAAATGTACCGACAAATTTTGATTGCCCCGGAACAACGTAAATACCAACACATTTTTTGGCGTGCGTCGCCACACGATCAGCTGCAAGAATACAAACTTAACACGGTCACATATGGTGTAAATTGCGCACCGTACCTCGCCATTCGTGTATTACAACAAATTGCTGATTCCGACTGTGCTGACTTTCCTTCCGTCCGTAAGGCACTATTGTTTCACACATATGTAGACGACATATGCGTCGGTGCCGATTCTGAAGATGCCGCTGTAGAATTGCAGTCTGCGCTGATCACCGTCCTCGGCCGAGCTGGATTGGAACTTAAGAAGTGGTCCAGCAATACTCAATCTGTTCTGAATCACGTGCCTCCGGAAGACAAAGTCAACGGCGCGTTGCCATTTGATGAAGGCGATGGGGTAAAGGTATTAGGTCTCCGTTGGAATCCACGCGATGATTCATTTGGTTATGGATTCCAGGACGAGAAGATGGTGGCCACAAAAAGAGGAATGTTATCCTTGATAGCCAGGATATTTGATCCTTTAGGCCTTTTATCACCTGTTGTTTTCTTTGCGAAGCATTTAATGAAATTGGTGTGGAAGGCGAATGTCTCCTGGGACGAACCATTGCCAATTTCCGTTAACGAAGTTTGGCACCAATTCGTGTCCGAATTGCCAGAATTACAAAAGATATGTATTCCGCGCTTTGTTAACACGCGCTCGGGTATTCGTGTGATACTATGTGGTTTCTGCGACGCGTCCGAGCGTGGATACGCAGCTGTCGTTTATATCCGCTCTGAAAATTCGTCTGGTACCCCTTTCGTGTCCTTATTGGGTTCCAAGACCAAACTAGCCCCGATGGCTGCGTCAACAATCCCGCGGTTGGAGCTATGCGGCGCAGTCCTGCTAGCGAAGTGGATGTCTCGCATCAAGGAGACATTAAACGTGGAGGTGGAAGTCGTTGAAATTCACGCTTGGTCTGACTCCACCATCGTACTTAATTGGTTGGCCGTACGCCATGCGATGTTCAAGATTTTTGTGTCCAATAGGATCCATCAAATACAATCGCTATTGCCGGATTGTCAGTGGCACCACGTACCCTCAGAGAATAATCCGGCTGATTGTGCTTCAAGAGGATTGTCACCCTCTGAACTAATGGACAATGTATTGTTTTGGAACGGTCCAACGTTTCTCAATTCACCAACCGCTGAATGGGTTGTCCGTGTTCCTTTTATCGAGCCAAATCAGCTCCCTGA